CTACAGTAGCAAAGGACCTTTAAAGAAGTAAGTATGTTTTTTTTCAAAATAACATTTATGAGTGGTTTTATTGGATGTGTGAAGTGTTTTAATGAAATGGATATGTTTTTTAGGCTAATTCAGATTGATCAGGTTTAGGGATACATTTTAGGGTTCATGTTAGGTAGTTTAGGGATACATTTAGGACGTAAGTTCGTGGGTCACGATAACCAAGATGGCGGCCGCGGGGTGATCTCTCTGAATTGTTTTTTATTCAAAAGAACATTTGTTTTATGGGAAGTGTGAATAATAGTAATTTTTGCGGTGAATTAAAATTGAAGTATTCACTTCTGATACCGGGTCCGATTAGCCGCAGCCAAACTTTTCATTACAATTGCAGATAAGACAGTAGCCGATTTGCCGCCAAAAAAGAAAGCAACTTTTATCTTGATTGATGTCATGTTAATGATTATCGAACTATATTTAAAATAGAATTAAAAAATACAATAAAATTATAAACATAAACGTATTCTTACTTGCTTTATTCTTACGTCACATGTTCGTGTTTCTTTAATGCTACACGAAGGTCTTCAAAATGAGGCACATTTCTCGATTGATAATAATGGCTCTAAAATGGCGAACCAACAGGAAGTAGGAAGTATTCGTCATAACTATCACGTGACCAACCGAATAATATATTATATATAAAACCCTCACGTCTCAGCTGGGTCCGAATAGCCAATTGCTGCTATAGGTACTCGGGTATCTATAGCCACTCCGATTCTTTAACTTTGAAGACAATTTAACAGCTTGACTTATGAAACCTTACTTTGCAGATTTAATTTTATATATTTATTACGCAAGTTGTATTGTATTAAGCATTATTAAGTTGAAGCAGCTCCGCCACACCTAATATCACTGGCTCTTCCGGCCCACAGTAATTAGCCCGGGAGTCGCTTAGTCGATTGATTTGTCACGTGATGTGAGTAAAAACAAGTAAGACTTCCGGTAGGCTGTATACAACACACTAGTGCTTGACAACAGTAGCCCGATACACACTACAACTACACTACATTTCGTCCAATGAAAATTAACAATATAATAAACAAAGGGGAATGACTCCTGCATCAATATTGAATAAAAACGCAAATGACGTCATGAGCACGCACGGATGTTGAGTTTTCTACTGTGTTCTTTTCTTTGTTGTATTTTCATTTCTTTTGTTGGCTGATGAAGGCTTTATGCCGAAACGTCCTTGTTTTTTGTCCTGTTACCTTTTTTCAAGCTTCCACATACCTCGTTTCACTATTTCATTCTTTTACATAGCTTGAAAGCAGTCCCTTCATTTATTTACGGATGTTGAGCCATCCTGCCGATAATAGTATTGATAGTTCCCATCGAATATCGCGCACAAATTTTTCTTGAAATAACTTTCTTCCTTTAATCATAACTGACTTATATTTATTGTCACATTTATGTATTTCATTTAAAAAATGCATGTATTCCAGAATATTTCGAAAGGTAAAATTTTTAAGTAACATTACATTGGGGAAGCACTGATGAAGTATCTTTTGTTGTGTGTAGCAGCCTAGTGATGGCTTACTCACATCACGTGACCAAACAAGGAAGTGACTAAGCCCCAGTGCCCCACTCCAACCTTGTCTAGGTCTAATATTTTACTTATAATAACACTAGGCCATGAATAGTTTATTGAATGTCTGTTGTCGAAATTTTCAAAAAGATCATTTGTCCATTGTTTGATCATCAACCTTTTAAAATATAGTCAAAGGATGCAATTTACCTGCGTAGTCTTTGCAAACTTAGTATAATAATTGCCTTCAGGTGAGCTTCCCAATCAAAGGGAATTAACTGCATGCTTCCACTAATTTACTATTGTCGTGCAGATTCTCCCGCCTAGATTCCCTCTAGAATTAATCTCCATGACACATGAAAAAAAAAAAAAAAATCAACCACTGTTGGGCTTTCATGACAAAGGCCTTAAAAAATGTAAATAAAAAATTCGTTTAATTAAAAAAAAAAACAAAAAAAAACCCACTCTGTCAAGGCGCTTGACATACTTTTAATTTTAATGTTCAAAAACATAACTACAACGGTAGGTACACTAATGAGTAAACATAAAAGAAGAATGTTTATAGTTATGGGGCCCCATAAATGAAGACACCCAAATTTTGCCGATTCCCCCCCCCCTTCAAATATAACGTCCCAAATATCTGCCCCCCCCCCCCCTTTTCAAAAATTTCCTGTGTCCACTACTGTCCTTTACAAACCCTTAAGAAATTCACCTTCCGATGGATATCAAATTACTGCACCTGTGTCTGTGTCAGAAAAAATTCACAAGAACAGTGGTTCTTAACCAGGGATAAAAGTATCTCCCCAGCCCCGAGGGGCGGAAGACCAGAAAATTGTTTTTGTTGCCATAGCTAGTTGCTGCTTTAAACAATTTGTAAAATAAAAAAAATCTGTTTTTTTGCGTGACGTCATTTATGGATGACCCTTATTAACCCATATTTAAATATTTAAAAGTACCGTAGCGTAATAATATGCACCGGCACTACATTCGGGGCTGGGCTAGATTTTTTTCGAAAATTCTAAAACGTAATGGGCATAGGTTAGATCTCCGGCATTTTAAAACATATTTTAATGGGACAACTTTTAAAGTTCCACTCGGTTATTTATCGAACTTATTTTTTTTTTTTAATACGGCCCTTTATTCAAGGCATAACTAAATTGCACCTTAAAGAATGGAACCCCACCGGGCCCCCTATATAAACGTGAAAACTGTTTACAGTTAAAGCAAATTTATTTCGCTGGAGAAGTGTGTGGAGCGAAGATAAGCTTCTGGTGCATAGAAGTAAGCAAGATGAACTGGCTGAATCCCCTGAGAAGCATATTTCAGAAATTCGGTCATCTATTGTAATATTGTATAAAGTTATAGGTGGACTCACTGTTCGTTTCAATGAGCATTTTTCTGAAAACTTCAGCTTCCTCTAGAACACATGTGTCAAACTCAAGGCCCGCGGGCCCCATCCGGCCCGCCGTAAAATTATATCAGGCCTGCGAGGTCTTGCCGGGCGTACATTTATATCCAAGTCAACGCTATGGTGTTTCCTAATGCACACTGTGCTGAAAAATGTAGCTTACTTCGCACGGCGCTTTAGTGACTCTAAAGCACAGAAATGTCTTGTTCCAGCACTTGATGATCCTCTTGGCGGCCATGTTTCTCAGTAATGGAGGATTACTTTTTACAAGTTTCACGAAGTTTCTAGATTTTCTATTAGGCATTTAACATTTACCAGCCGACAACAAAACTCATTACTCTAAATCAGTGGTCGGAAAATTGCGGCTAGCAAGCCGCATGAGGCTCTTTAGTGACCCGAGTGCGGCTCGGGCAGTCGGCCACAAATCTGGTTTGACTCCGAAAAACATGGTTCTTGAAAAGAAATTAGGCTCTCAAAATTTTTTCATCGCCCTGCTGCTGATTTTTGGCTCTTTTGACTAATGAGTTTGCCGACAAACTCATTTGTGATATCCTTTTCACAAACACCCCACCTGATGTTTACTTGGTTTCCTAGGCTACGTCATCTCTGTATTAGCATAAACCATCGTGAAACATCAGAGTCGACTCCTCTCCCACCTATTAGTATTGTTCCTTTGTCCTGTACCTAGGGCTATCGCTCCCAGGTGCAGCTCTGGTCATTTGTGACAGTACCCGGTAATGAATTTTTTAAAAAGGCAGACGAATCGTAAACAAAACTCATGCATGGGATAATACAAGTATTTAACTGTGAAAATAAGAAAGTCGTTAATTAAGAATTAATGCGAGCTCCAGACATATTGGTTTAAGATGGGATCCTGTTCAGGGTCAAATCTCGTTCCTTTTAGGATCACATTTTCCGCCTGGCTCCTGATATGCAGACCCTGGGTAGCGTTATTTTAATTAAATAATAATAATGAAGTTCATAAAAAAAACAAAACACGCTTCATCCCTAATTAAGGCTTGAAGCCCGGTAAAAAGTCAACCATATTTGACAATTTTTATATTTTTTCCACAAATAAAGTACAAAACGCAACAATAAAAAATCTACATTGAGGAATATGAGCAAGCTGGAAAAAAGGAGGTAGACTACAAAACTAAGTCGTAGAAAAATCTAAATCTTTTAGATATTTTAAGCAGGTAGAGTAAAAGATTAATTCTGTAACAAAAATGAAAAGATTCAAGAAAAACATTGATAGCAAATTAATGCTTTTGGATTTTGTTCATATTTCATTTATTTATTAATAAAAGAAATTTACATCTATATAAATATATATATATATATATTTATATATATTTTATCAATATTTTTTTTTAAATCAAATAATTTCTCTTCAATATTTACATCTAGGTTATAGATTGACAGTTTGGAGCATAGCAAGACACAATTAAAAAATACAGCGGTAACAACTTATTGCAATAATATTTTTGTTTTGACACAAAAACTTAATCTAGAAAAAAAAAGATCACCTAAAAACTAAAAAAACAAGTATATTTATTAGGTTAAGTAAACTATGTTTACTATAAAGTTCAAGAAAGAACTGGGGAAATAGCTACAATAAATTCCTCTAATGCCCTTGGCTTCATAAAGAAGAATTCACTTTGTAATCCCTTATTTATAGCTGGAACAGAATAACTAATAGAAACATGTTTAAAGTTTTAAATGAGATCTAACTTAATAACGGATTAATGGACGGATTGTGTTATTTATTTACAATGGTGAGACCCACATAAGCAAATCTCATTAAAAAATTATGATTATTTCACAATACAAGTAAAAAGTATACGTATAATATTTCCTGTTTGTTCTCATTTAGTTCACTGCAGTTAAAAAAATGTTGTTTTTTTTAATTACATCTGGAAATGACGTCTAGTAGTAAATTATAAGAGAACAGTAACATTAAAGGAAATTTTTTTTTTTTTTTTTTTTAACATTAAAGGAAATTTTTTTTTTTTTTTTTTTTTTATACTGATGATGAAAATATTTTGTGCAAAAATCCATACAACATTAAGCACACAACTAACACTAAAATAAGCTGCCTGATGTCTCTTTTTGCTCCTAAACCAAAAAAAACCCACACCAATCAGTTATACACAACTAGTGGCTGAATTAAACATAAAAAGTCCAAAGTACATATATTGTTTACACCTCAAAATTGTACATTGTACGCCAAAATCGTAAGAGTACTCAGGTCTCCAGATAAAAGAATTGTCTCAATTAGTATTAGTATTAGCAATTTAGAAAAGAAAGTGATACACCAAGGGGAAATCTAAATTATTTAATCATTTTTATAGTTTCATCACAAGATAAATATCAGCTCATTTCTGTTATTACAATCTTGAAGAATTGCTACACATATGTCAATGGAAGACTGAGTTTTCACTGCACTCACACAAAAGCTGGTCATTTCACAAAGTCAGTTTTAACTTTCTCCATGACAAGATAAAGGGAGGCCACCATAATTATAGCAAAAAGTACTATTTTTTGTTATAAAGTAAAAAATATAGATATATTTATAAAAAAAAAAGTAATAATGGTTTCACCTTTTTTTTTTACTTAATTACTCAGCAAGCGAATCGTGTATGTAAGTCATAAAGGAATAAAGCAATTCATATCTCAACTTTAGAAATAAAGATAATTCAATGAGATATAAAAATTATTTAAAAAAAAATCTTTTAGCCTACATAAGAGACAAGATAATTAACCAGTCAGAAGGAAATTATTTAAATCTAGTAGTTTGTAATATTAAGTAGAAACAACCCAGCATCAGAATTGATTACCTGTACACAGCTTAACAAATAAAATAGGAGTTTATTGTTTGTAGATCTCCTGGTGAGACTCACAGCTTTAAGAAAATATCAGACCTAACAGCAGTCTTACTGCATAAAAGTTTAGTTTTCTTAAGGCTACTTAGTATAAATATGTCAAGTATGTACATATATGTGAATCAATCTATTGTTTGAAAAAAAAACAAAAAAAATCCCCCAAAAAAACAAACTTGTAACAGCATTGAATAACACAAGACAAGCTAAATCCCCAATTGTTCCTTGGTGCTAACATGTGATACTCAACTAAAGAGCCATAATTTAAAAAAAAAAAAAAGGACAAGTTGAAGTGTCTTTAACTATACTCTTTTCTATCATTTCCGTCAGTTTTCTTATCTTGTGTAATAAAAAAGAAATGAAATGACAGAACACCCGGATTCTATTCAGTTACAGATTCAAAAACGGGTTGCCACCCTGAAAGGACTGATACAATGAATTCAAATAAATGATATTATATTGCAATTTACCAATTTAATCTGTCAGCAAATGTCTGAGACCAGACTATCAACACTTCTTTCATTGAAATAAAAAAAAACAAAAAACAGATTAAATGCTGGTTAGCATTAATGAAAATTCAACCAAGAATTTTGAAGTTTTGAAGTTAAACTTATTTTAATTGACATCAATTTATTGTATCTTTCACTTTCACCCCATTAAAATCGTTAGGTATCGCGGGCCACTAGTCTTTTTGCAGGTTGGGAACCTGTGCATTAACAGGTGTAAAAATGTTAAATGTAAAACTTTGTAAAGAAAATGTATTTCTAAATTGATTTTCAAAATTTTGGTTCTGAAATGAGCTTGTAAATGGATAAGAAAGGAAGACAATCATTTTGTAAATATACTGCATAATAGTTTTTTTAAAAACATAAATGAAATAAAATGTACTTTTGTAAAGAAAAAGGGACAGGACTTCAAAGAAATACAGATGTACTTTTGATCTCATAAATATCCACAGCATCATCATTACATCACTAAACAGGTGGACATCTATCTAAACAAGGAGGGAATAATCATCTTCAATTTTTAACTATTTAAAAATTTTAAAACACCGGAGACAGTAATGGTGGTTCATAGTGCGCCACTTCATAAGTCGTGAAGTATTGTGTTTTGTATGGACAGAGTGGAGTACGTGAAAAGAATAAACTGCTGGGCTCCATATTCAAACAGGTTTTGAACCTGACCGAAGATAAGTTTGCCCTAAGTCTCAGTCCACACGCACATCCCCGGGCTCCACTACAGGTATTTAAAGAAATTAAAAATATTGCAAAAAAAATATTGCCGGTATTTTTATTTTTAGTAAATTTAAGAATAAAATTGTGAAAATCCGATCTGTTAACTCTAGAAACATGAAAAATACCATTATACCCTAATGTGAAAATTAATGAAATTCATATTGGTTTGCCTTTAAAAAAAAAGTTTATCATTAAACAAAATTTAATTAAATTAAAAATAAGAGAGACAGTAAGGTTAAGTATGGTGAATCTAATAAACTTGTTAACCCATTACTATCAGTCATTATAGGTCATGAGTCATATGGGAGTTACCATTATTTCACTATTAGAGAAATAAGGGTTCAATGATATTTGTAAATTTTCTATGTAGCCTATTAATGTAAGGCACGGTCATAAAATTTGGTACAATCCTCTGATCAAGATATTCACAATAATTTACAGGAGACAGCACCTTCGGCACTGTCGATGCTCAATGAAATATCAACATTATCTCTGTCATCAAGGATTATGGTTCTTATTTGGAGGAGAACATCTTTGATTCTAATTTAGGGTCAGACCTAAATGTATGTTTGAAATGCTTTCAGGAAACTTTAATGTATATTTTTCTGAATATACTTTTTCACTGTTTGCTAAATGAACTATTTTATATAGAAATATGGATGAGAAGTTCTGCATTTGGTGATAAAGAATGCAGAAAAATATAAATAGTCTGTATGTGAACGTGTTGTGAAAATGTAATCCAATTGCAATTAAATTTTTTTAAAAATCTGACAGATTGTATGCGGTATGGTTTTGGTGCTGTATACAATGGGACCAGGCCTTGGTTCTGTATGCAGTATGGTATGGCATTGTGCAGTATGCAATATGGCTTTGATTCTATATGAAGTATGGTGCTTTATGGAATTGGTACTGTAAACAGTAAGGCCTTGGTGCTGAATATGTTGAACATAAGGGCAGATTGTGACTGGAATGGTAAGTTATACACAGAAAACATCAAACAAGAATGTACACTGTTAGTTTAGGATACCAAAGGATTTAATCTTATGTACAGTATTCAATATACGATGTCATTTTTGTGAACTACGTGATAAATATTTTTTTTTTACAATAAATATGTCTTCTAATAAATATGGTGTCAATGAATAATGAGATAATGAGACAGAAATTAGATATTTTGAGTGCTATAGTCTTGGCTTAGTTTCATCAAGTGCATGATCACTTTTTCTAACAAGTACTTCAATTAAAACAGTGTTAGCTGCAAGTATTGACCAAATGTCTCCCCCCTTCTCTTCTGTCAAACAACATTTCTGATCTCTAGTCACAAGGAAAAATCTTTTAAATAAGAACAGCAAATCATGTCTCGATAAAAGGAACAAATTAAATAAACCCAACAGAAGGGAAAGAATCCATTAACAGCCACTTTGCAGAGTTAGAGAGCATGCATTTATTTGTGCTATGAGCCTGTTGTTATAAAAAAAAAATCCAAAATCACAAGCAGGTAATGAAATGAAGTCCCATCTCTCCACCACAGCAAACCAGTCTTGACTCTAGTCTTTTATCTTGTCCAATAATCCAGGGTGAGATAATCCCACAAGACAAGTCACTTCTCTCCCATTTACTTCCAAGTCTTCACAACATATCCACACATCAGGAAGTAGTTTATTCATTGCCACGTATCAGGAAATAGTTTATCACAATTGGAATTTTTGCAGCTTAACACGAGGCAAGAACGATTGATCCAACACTTGTCCACAAATAAGTTATCACACTTTGGAGTGTTGTCGTCGCTGATAGATTCCGTTGACGGCTTGAACGGTATCAAGAAGTAGAGAGTCAAACAAGGAGTCTGTCAGAGACATTTTGAGGTTCAGTTCATCCTGTGAGTAGTCCACCCAGCCTTTCTCTTCCTCCCCCAGTTCCTGGCTGAGAACTGAGTCCACCACATCTTTCTTCTTGCGGATATTCCATTTGTTGACGGAGACACTCTTTTTCGTGCCGTTGACATCGAGAAGGTTAAAGACCGCGGCTTGGACAACGGGCTGGAGGCCATCAAGTGTGGTGGGTGGGTTAGCACCTTTGAAGAATTTCTGTGAAGTGTGCCGGGCTTTCTGCCATGGTGGCGGCTCCATCTGTTAAATGGTGAAACAAATGTTCAGCTAAATTAACAAACAGATTAAAGTCACATTAATATACTCTCAAGCTCATGGTATTATCTTTAGAAATGAATCAAAAAGAAATATTACGAATAATAGTTTTTCAAAATATTAAATAATAATTTCATGATAAATTACTGACAATGTAATTGGGCTGATTTCATGATATATGACATTTTAATTTTAGAAGTTGAGTGCTCTTGAAATGGAATTTTTAAGGAATGACACTATTCTAACTTTGGTATATAATTACGACTGCAAATAAAATGAGACAAACACAGCAATAAAAAAACATTTCATTAGTATTATTTTTATCTCAGTTGTGATTGTCAAGCAATATCCAGCTTTATATATTCTTATATTGATTTAAATGTTGGAATACTTACTTTTATAATCAATGTTTAGACCAATAATTTCCTTTGATAAAGCTAGAAATTAAAGGTAACCAATAAAAGAGATGGCGCACCTATGGCATCCTGTATGTATGCACTTTTTTAACTCCTAAACTGGAACCTCAGTATTCTGGTTTAATTGCGGGGTTGGCCCTATGCGATAATAAGTGGGGTTTGTGATGTAGTTTTTGGCAATCGGTCTCTATAGCGTTGACCGTGACTAACCTATGACATTAAAAGACTTACCTTGTCCTCATTCTTGTAAATGTCACGTATTATCTCCCCTGTCAGATCAAACAACATTCGCTTCCAGCTCCTGCGACTCTGTATGACCAGTGGCTCAGCCCTGTCGTCATCGTCAGACAGAAAATCAAGTGGGGGTGCAACACCTTCCAAGGACTCCCCATAGCGACGATTTTCCCAGAAGATGTCAACAGCTCGTGAAATTATAGGAATCAACTCCTCTTTACTAAGGGGCACCACCGGTGGTATTTCTTCAGGCACCAGGGTCCTATCAGGCAGACCAACTGGACGGCAGGATGGCAATTTAAGTTTAAACAATCAGGAAATAATTTCAAGAAGATTTTATATCTATCAATCCTAAAAAGTTGACACACACTAGAATTTAATGTACAGTAATATAAGCTGATCAGCAACAGGATGCATACAAAATATTATAGAATGACAATGGTTAATAATAAGAAGGCTACATATATATTATAGAATGGTTAAGAATAAGATGGAATACATTTTTTAAAATATTAAGTGAGCCATTATGTAGGAGCAGATTTTTTTTTAAAATTTAAGAGAGAAGGGTATGTCTGGGTATGCAGGGGCATGGTGGTGGTTGCTCCCAACTGCAGCTATAATATCCTCACATTCAACAGTTTTTAACTTGTGACATTATTGGTCCTTTTTATTCCAAATATTTCGAGATGTCATATGGCCGTCAATCATTAAATGTTACTCTGGCTACAGTCCACAGTACAGTCAATCATTAAATGTTACTCTAGCTACTGTCCACAGTACAGTTAATCATTAAATGTTACTCTGGCTACAGTCTACAGTACAGTCAATCATTAAATGTTACTCTGGCTACAGTCTACAGTACAGTCAACTCTGGCTACAGTCCACAGTACAGTCAACTCTGTCTACAGTCCACAGTACAGTCAACTCTGGCTACAGTCCACAGTACAGTCAACTCTGGCTACAGTCCACAGTACAGTCAACTCTGGCTACAGTCCACAGTACAGTCAATCATTTATTTTATTAAGATAACATCAACATTTTATAAAAATTACCTTGGTTGCCAGTATAAGGCTTTAATGAATTGGTGGACTGTTCGAATCCAAGGTCATCATCAATATATTCCCCGAACAGCTCCGACATCTCATCATTGAGTGCCTTGCGCTGGCAAAAATTAAGAAAAAAAATATGTGAGGCAAAGCTAGAAAATTTTGCTACCTTTGAAAAATAAAATGTCCAACATTTATATAACGCCTTTGATCAAACTTACTAAAAGAAAATACAATCAGCGTGAACAGAACCTAAAGCTGCTTACAATGCCGTACAACATGGACATCTCTCATCAATTTTAACCATCTCAACACAATAGTTTCTTCATTACCATAGACTTAAGGTTATTAAAAATGATGATTAAACCTGTAAATAAGTGTCCTTAGGTTAGTCAATGAAAAGAAAAACCAAAGCTCAGTGACATGACAACAGACTCACATCATGTAAAGAATGCCCGTCTCCAGGCACAGGGGAGGAAGGTCTCTGGATGGGCTCCAGGGACAGACCCGAGTCGTTGTCCTGAATGTCTTCCTCTCTCTCATCTTCAAATGACAAGCCCAGCTCTTTGCTTTCTGAATGGCCGTTGACCAGGGAACTCGGGGCATTCAGGTCACGGAATTTAGCGGCTGCCGCTTTTCTCTTCCTGATGTTCATCATGTCAGCTATGGCTTCCTCCAGCACCGACTTCATCAGGATGTCTGTGGTTCTGTCTGTGCTCACATCTTTGGATGTCTGACTGTCCTCTTGACCACGCCGTGGTGGCTGTGAGCTTTCCACTGAATCTTTGATTACCAACACATTCGGTTCCAGCTTTCGTACAGGTTTAGGTGAGGTCGGGGGAGCAGATTTCTTGCTGGCGACCTGTCCAACTGCGGCCAAGGTGTCCTCCACAAGCGTGGCTGTGAGTTTATCTGTAATGCTTTCCCCAATTGAAGTCCAATCTCGTTTGACTGGTGAGCCTCTTGGCTTTTCAATGTTAGATTCTACTGGATAAGGAGAGCCGACTGGCGTTGAGTGTATGATAGAATCCCCAAGTAGATTCTCTTCTTTATGTACAGTGTCCACAACGTTAGAATCTTCCTGATCTGTGCTCAGTGATTCATCTGGACTAAATTTTTCTTCAATTTCTTCCATGTTAATGAGATCAGGTTTTTCCTTCTCTGCACCTATTTCACTTCCAGGAATCATAACCCCGTGTCCTGACGCACAAGTAAAATATCTTTTGCCCTCGTGAAATCCATCAGATTCGCCCGCCTTGGTGTCCAATTCAACGCCTGCCCAGATTCCTGGAGAGAATTCCACCTTGCCCTTAAAGCGCAGTTGTCCTGGTAGTCTGCCCCACACTATGACACGGTCCCCAAGTTGGAAGTCGGCCAATGGATCAGTGAGTAGCAACATGTTCTCTTCTTCCTCTTGTACCGGTGTCTGGGCCATCTCTCTGGGTGTGGCTACAGGTGTCTTCTCATCTTCATCTTTGTCCTCAGCCTCTTCATCAAACCCCAACAAACTGAAGACAAAATATAAAACATCCCTGTCATGAGACGACCACAAAGAGAATATGAAACCAAAGATTTAAATCCTTTTTTCTTCTAATCTTTGAACAAAATGAATGACAAAAATGATTCTTTATAAAAACTGAGCTATTTTATAATAGAGTGATGAAATTAAAAATATCTTTGTATAATTGGAATTAAAGTGGAGAATATTTATTTCTGCTGAGTAAAGTATCAATTCAAGAAGATTTTAACATGCAGTTCATGTTTCCCATTACACTAAAATATTTGTTCACATTTCTGAGGGAAATATGAAAAAAAATTTACTCTGAGGGAAATATTTTTTAAATTTACCTTGAAGGAAATATTTGTTAAATTTACACTGAAGGAAATATTTGTTAAATTTACACTGCAGGAAATATTGATATCATTCTCCAGTATGACTAAGATTTCTTACCTGTCTAGCATGTCCTGATCCTGACGGTATGAGGCAGAGTGGCCACGCTTTTCTGAGATTGATGGAAGACTTGCTGAAATATGTTCACTAATGTCCTCATCATCTGTCCTGAGGGATGTGGCGCTGACGACATTGGGCAGGAGCCGTTGAGACGACATCACTGGAGTCCTCTCAGAACCTGAACTCATGATATCCTCCTCTTCATCTTCCTCAGGATACGACCTGTTACTCCCCAGTGAACGTTCACTTGAAGGCCTGGAGCTGCCCTCTGATTTCTGATAAGAGTTGACACGAGATTCTGTCTCATCACTGTCAGACTCCTGAATACCTGTAATAGGTGGACTGGCAATGGACTCTGTGGGTGTCACGGGGGGACTGCTGACAGACTTCTTATCAAGTGATGTCTCCAGATCTTGACCACTCGTCTCCTTCTTGAGGTCCAGTTTGTCATTTGAGGCTCCAGAGACAGATCGAGCTGTGCTAGGAGCTTCAATGTGTTCAGAAATGTCTCCATCTGTGGGCCCTTTAGCAGACCCCTGGCTCCTCGCACTTAGTGGAACCTTGCTATGGCTCTGGGCCAGGCTGGAGTAATTATCAGAAAAGTCGTAAGTATACGATGCGTCTTCATCTTTGTCTACTTCTGAACCTTTCTTCTCACCATCTTCGACATCTTTGATTTGGATATTCAACTTGTCAGACCCTGTCTTCTCCGATGTGTTGGTGTCCAGTTGGGAAACCTCTTCAATCATCTCCTGGACACTGGATGTCTTCTCCGAATGGTCGGAATCTTTCTTTGCATCTTTGACTTGAGCAGATGCTCCCGACTTATCTGATTCAGATCCCTCCGATATCCGATCCATCAGTGACACTGCAACCTTCTTCTTGGATTTATCATCCACTGGAGACAGTTTGGCATCTAGAAATAAAAAAAAACAAACCCTTCCTCATTCTCATCATTCTCAACATCTAGTTCTCAAAATGACACACACAACAAACCCCAACATTCGAAATAAGTTTCCTTTTATTGCTATTTGAATCAGCACGTCTAAAGCTGATTGCCAACATATATTCACATTGGACATCTCGTGAGTTGTACAGACTCCAGCAAGCTTAGTTTATTCCTTGGAAATTACCAGTGAACATATTTGCAGAACTATTAACTTCAAATGGACAGAGTCTCTAAGAAAATATTGAAAGGAAAATTTTTTGATTTACATTGAAAAGAAAACAAAACAAACTCAAACAAAAACCGATTTCTACCTTTGCCATCCAGTGATGGACTTGACTGGTTGGACACGGGGCTGTCTCGCATTTCCTCAAAACTAGAGGAATTACTGGCAGCATCATCTGCCTTCCTGGCGGGTCGTGGCTTAGTGTGGTGTCCCACGCGTGGCTGTTTGATCTGCGGCTTGACAGCCGTCCTCAAGAACTGGGGCTCATGCTCAAGTTCATCTTTCTCTACCTTCAACTGCTGGATGTAATTATTGTATGCCTGGTAAAAAGATACAACAGAGTCACTGTGAAATTCTTCAGGACCAACTGCATCTTTCCAGGGTAGAAATCAGTGGTGTGCTGCCAATCAAGGAACAACTGGTTTGGTACTCATCGGTTATAGAAAATTAAAAAAAATATATTTTATATATTTATATAGTTTTCATTATTTTGACATTTTTTTAACAAAGGTTCATTAGAATACTCAAAATTTAAAAACCAATTAGCCCGGACTGGCTCAAGCACACCACTGATAGATAGAATGTCTAAGTTGATTTGAAGCAGTAGATAGAATGTCTAAGTTGATTTGAAGCAGTAGATAGAATGTCTAAGTTGATTTGAAGCAGTAGATAGAATGTAAAGGTTTTTTTGAAGCAGACTGTGGGGTTGCCATTGAATGCAGGGGCTGTTATGGTGCAATTCAATTCATTTTCTGTCACTACATTTGAAAGATTGTAAAAATGTTCCGTCACTATATATGAAAAATTGTAAAAGTTTTCTGTCACTACATTTGAAAGATTGTAAAAGTTTTCTGTCACTACATTTGAAAGATTGTAAAAGTTTTCTGTCACTACATTTGAAAGATTGTAAAAGTTTTCTGTCACTACATTTGAAAGATTGTAAGTTTTCCATCACAACATTTGAAAGATTGCTAAAGTTTTCTATCACTACATTTGAAAGATTGTAAAAGTTTTCCATCACAACATTTGAAAGATTGCTAAAGTTTTCTGTCACTACATTTGAGAGATTTTAAAATGTTCCGTCATATGAAAGATTGTAAAAGTTTTCCGTCAGAGATTGTAAAAATATACGGAAACAGTAAACCCATATTTGACATCTTGCACCCCCCCCTCCGCCCCCACCACAGAACTAACATCAAACAGTGATCAGCTCGTACTCTGCCTATGAGCCTCTATGTTGGTAAACGGATTACTTTTTACAGACTTCTACAATAGAAATGCAAAATCACAGCAGATAAATTCAAATTCAGTTACCTCCAACTGTTTCTTCATTGCTTCTTCCTTGGCCTTGAATATTTCTTTCTTCCTCTGAGATCGCTCCTTTTTCAGGATTTCCACCTCTTTCCTGCGTCTCCTCAGCTCATCGCTCAACTGCCGAATGCGGACCTCATAATCACTGACATCTGACAAGGTTTCTGAAACACATTAAAAATGGATTCTATAGAAGCAGAACAAGACTTTCATTCATAGTGATGGACTTAACTTCTCACAAAGCTATTTACAGGAATTAATAAGGTTACATAGGAGAGTAGATATGTATGCACTGGGGGAGAGGACACATGACATCTAGTCAATGTTGCCAATCCCTAATGATTATAATAAAACAAACATTTACAAAATATAAACTTTATTAGTAATATCGAATGGCAAGTCGATCCTTGTCACACAATGATAGTTGTGACACTTGATTCAAAAGCCTTCAACTTTAAATAAAAAATGTTGTTCCGCTGCTCTGCTTACATGCATATGATAGAGAGCTGGCCTTATTGGTTTAGGATGAAAGCCAGGAGTTAGCATTTAGTAAATAGATTTTTAGTGGGACAAAATAAAGATCTAAATTCTTTTCATATATTGCAGTTTGAGAAATTGAGGAGAGAAACTTTATCTAATTTAATTGCCTCAGGTTAAATTACAATACCTAACCAGTGGAGAAATGTACAAAAATGGTGACAAGGGAAATTACCTGTATGAGATATGGAGTCTTCCGACTCACTCTCTGATCCAGTTTTTCTCGACCAGGGTGATGGAAGGGGCGAGTTGCCTTGAGGAAGAAGTTTGCCGACTGGAGATTTTCTACGATTGGACACTGAGGATGGTCCTTCGTGTTCAAATGTGTCAGCATAGTCATCGTTGGCAATGCTGGTGATTATAGTGTCATCCCCTGAATCTTGGGCCTGAAGTTCAATTGCACAATATTACAATTAAAACCTCTACAAGAGATCTATAATACTAAATAGGAGCCAAAATGATCAATAAATTGATCGTGGGCCCTTAAGATATAGAAGAAGAAGAAATGTACCAGACATCTATTGCAATTTTAACACAGTTCCTATGCCACACAAAGGAAGATATCATAAATCATTTGCCAGAAGAAGAAAAAAAACAACTTTCCAAGGATTGGTAAACTATTATATAAACTTATTCCACTTTTAAAATGTCTTTATTGTTTTTCAGTTATTTGATTATCTGTTGGTCGTTTTAACCTTGACCTCAATATGGTTTCTTTAAAAAATGCTGAGTTCAATTATAGATATTTCTCTTTCACAGTCAGTTGGTCCACCCCCCCACTCCAAATTATAAAACTAAATCCAAACATTGACAAATGAATCCAACCTTTTGTTTCTCAACTGATGGAATTTCTTCTGGTATCGAACTCTCACTACCGCTGGCACCCGGTGATGTCTGTTTGTCTTTCTCTTGAATGGAAGACCTTGACCTCTTGTCTGTCACAGACTCCGACATGCTCAGCTGGGTTGAGATGACCTCAGATATTGAACTCTGAACCGTCCTTGACCTGAGGGCTGCACCATCCAGCTCATCATGAATAGAAGAGAGCATTCGGTTGGATATGACATTAGAATCATCTCCCTTGGATGGCGTGACAAGTTTGGAGGCTGCGAAGAATAAATGATTTTATTATTGTTAAAATTTAATTTTGACAGTGTCATCAAGAGAAATATTTAAAAACTAGAAATGTAAAATACAATGTTGAGCTGTGACCCTGCTTACAAACAAGAGTCAGATTAGGAATACTGCTTTAGAAGACAATGAGAATATCAAGACCAAGCTTTCAAACTTGCACATAATTCGACATAGTTGGGATGATGGCAGAGCAATTAAAATCTGCTGCCTGTTAATTGAAAGACAGACAAGCCTACCATTAAGTTCCAAGGCCAACTAAAATTTGTATAACAACATAGGTCCCAGGGCCAAGAAACTTGTACAACAGCATGGGTCCCAGGCCAACAAACTTGTATTACAAAAACATGGGTCCCAGGCCAACAAACATGGATCCCTGGGCTAACAGACTTGTATAACAACATGGGTCCCAGGGCTAAAGGATTTGTATAACAACATGGGTCCCAGGGCTAAAGGATTTGTATAACAACATGGATCCCAGGGCTAAAGGACTTGTATAACAACATGGGTCCCAGGGCTAAAGGACTTGTATAACAACATGTGTCCCAGGGCTAAAGGACTTGTATGACAACATGGGTCCCCGGGCTTGTATAACAACATGGGTCCCCTGGCTTGTATAACAACATGGGTCCCAGGACTTGTATAACAACATGGGTCCCAGGGCTTGTATAACAACATGGGTCCCAGGGCTTGTATAACAACATGGGTCCCAGGGCTAAAGGACTTGTATAACAACATGGGTCCCAGGGCTTGTACAACAACATGGGTCCCAGGGCTTGTATAACACAACATGGGTCCCAGGGCTAAAGGACTTGTATAACAACATGGGTCCCAGGGCTTGTATAACAACATGGGTCCCAGGGCTTGTATAACAACATGGGTCCCAGGGCTAAAGGATTTGCACCACATTTATAAGCAGTTGAAGCAGTCTGACACTCACATTTTTTAACCGGTGCTTCTTCTTTCTTCCTCTCCTTGTTCTTTCCCCCCCAGGCCTCAATCGCTTTTTTCTCCAGCTTGTAGACTTTCTGTTCCTCGGCATCCAACTTTTTCTTCCACTCCAGTAGCTCCTTGGCTTGCTTCTTTCTTTCATGGAGCTTCTGTTCTCTGGCTGTCATGTACCTGAGTGATAGAGTCAATGGTAGCAACTTAGCTTGGCTTATTATGTGAGTGCATTACTAAACTACCTAGGTCATAGAAACAATGCTTTAATAAAGCTTGCTAGATGAGCACAATACTAAACTACCTAGGTCATAGAAACAATGATTTAACAGAGCTTGCTGTGATATCAAAGGAACACAGTGCAGGTGAAAGCCTGAAAGAAGATGCAACAGGAAAACACAGCTGTATGACCTTGAAAGAATCACATAGCTTCTCGTGGTGACCTACTTATCTCAACAATATGTACAAATAAGCTAATGGTGACCTACTTTTTAACTACACACTATGAACAACATAGCTAATGGTGACCTACTTCTCATCTCAACAAAATGTATGTTTAACCATGTATTTTGTAACCCAGTCTAAATTGCAACTGTTATTCTCATACATTGAACCCTCTATGACATCAATGCAACATGCTTCACAACTATATGGATGCTCCGTTTTTTGCCACTCCCAACCATGTCGCACACACACAACCCTCACAGCCCTCCATAATGAAAATGTCAAGTACTGTTTTTACACACTTCACTTTCATTGAAGTACACACATCATATATTCAAATATTTAAAGTATTTTCTCCAATGCAATAGAATAATCATCACACTTCATTGGGTAGCTGGAATAATTAATTATATGTATGTATAACTCTCTCTGAAGTCATGCATGGCTTGCGCCATCTTCACACTCTCTTGTACTCTTGCCCAAAATCTCACATTCCTCCAGCGTATTCAAAGATAGTCCAATGACAGTTTACAGTATGCAACGTTGTTTTAGAACAATGATGTCCACCTACTTTTGATCTAATCTCATCTTCTGTTGTTTCTCCATGATCTTCTTGTCTCCTTGGGCTCGTCTGTTGGGCATTTCAGAGTCAGATTTGGACTCCTTGATATCCTCTGTCACGTCAGATGTAGCTTCCGTCTGGTACAGGATATAGATGCATTTTCATTATTGGTTAGGAACATTCTCTAACGCAAGTTTGACGTTACGGACTGCACGTTCGCATCAACTAATAAAAAGAAACCCATATAAAAAGTTGCCCACGTATGACTCTTCTGATGACAGAGTTTAAGTTTTAGTGTATGACTGACCTCATCTTCTGTGTGAACCTCAAAAGGGCGATTCAGTCGTCCATTGGCAGGAGTGCTCTTTAATTTCTGAAGTGTCTGAAAAAAATTTTTTTTTTATTACTCTTTTTGACTTTAGCTATGATTTTGTTACTAACTATTTTCCTCATCATAAGTTTAAACAACAACTTATAAGACAATGTTTTTACAATACTTTTTTTGGATTCTTAGTTTCCAATGGTAAAAATGTTCATTTTGAAAGAACAATGAATACAATGAAGCTTTGAGTTAGTGGAGAGAAGAGAAACACCAGCCATCATCAACTTACAGCATTCGTGTTGTGTTTAATCTTGGCAATCTCCTCGTGTTGCTGCAACAGCATCTGCCTTTCTTTACTGGCCATTTTGTTGGCCTCCTGTAAACGTCGGATCTCAGCCTGGGAAAATAAGAGCTGTCATGAACTGAGATGGCACAAGAACTATCCTACAAGTCTATAACTCAAGACTCCTTGATTCTTTCTTACCAATAGTTTCCACAAAACCAAACACTTTTATTTTCCTTACATTTCTGATAACCCAACATTTGTTTTTTTTCTTTTCTAACCAAACCCATTTGAAGGGGTTCATTAAAAATTTCCATTTAAAATTTCTAAAAATTAACTGAAAGCTTTAGAATAATTTTAGGCCTACGCTTTAAGATTAACGTATGATCATTTATGGTTCATGAATGTTTTTTACATGTTTTCAAAAATGTCAATGTAACTCTAAGATCTATAGGCCATATTGGGTAACTACAAACATACATAATAGTTTGATTTTCTGTCTATTTTTAGCCTACATTATCCTACATGATCATAGAAGTTGTCAGGCTTGGGACTGTTAACAACAGGCATATTTGTGGAAATGTGTGGACAAATTAGAAAACACTATCGGCAGATGGTGATTATCTGCAAACTTTTGGACACAGATAGCAAAGTCTATCCACAAATTTGAAATTTCACAAAAATTAGAATACATAATCTTTTTTTTTTTTTTTTGCTAGCATCCGCCGGTCACAATGTGACGATATTGAAGACTTCGCATGACGAAATCCACAAGCCTAGGATTATTGTTCTAGGATTATAAGCTGGTTCCCAACAGCAAATCGCCTCTCTCCACTCCGCTGGATTACCCAAGGGAACATCATGTAGAATACATAATCTATACCTTAAGTATTGTTGGTTGTGTTGACAGAGTCCATGGCAGAACAAACATTTGTGTTGTTGAAAGAGACCTCTACTAGCTTTTATAAATTTGTCAGTTTAAAATTTGACAATATTCCAATGTAAATAATACACAGACTCGATTGTTAATAAATTTTTGTAACATATTTTTTATTTATAAAAGTAAAAAAAAAAATAATAATCAGTTATTGAATGACAACCATGACACGCATAGAAATAAAGGTACTAGTATCTCTCACCTGCTGTTCCTGAAGATTTTTTCTGATCTTTCTCTCTCTCTGGTCCAGGTTTGGGAAGACATCGTCTGCCCCCTTGTTGGTAGGTTTTTGTTTCAACTGTTGCAACCAGGCAAGTTCCACTTTGGCCTTCTCTTGTAGGGCCTTTTCTCTCAGGTTAAGTAGAGCAGCCTGTGGTCATTTGGGCATTCAATAAAAGTGTTCACATGTGGGCACAATCTAAGGGTCATTTGATAATTATTTAACATATGTGCGTACAAAATGTGTATACAATCTAAAGAAATACACAAAAAATACAACCTTATATTTACAAATTAATTGTACCCGGTAATGTGGACTTATTTTAAAAAAAGGCTTGTTGCAATATTCCATACAAAGTATTTGATTCATGTGCTTTAACTAAAGTTCCCTAGTAGAGCTATATATTTTTCATAGAAAAAACATTGAAACATTTCCAGTCATCCTTTCATATGTACTATTAATAATGACACCCCATGTATTGTTTGCCTGCTGCGGTGTCCTGTATATTATATAGCATTATATTTACAAAGACACCCCGTTTATTGTCTGCCTGCTTCTGTGTCCTGTATATTATATAGCGTTATAATACCAAAGACACGCCATGTAGTATCTACCTGATGCTGCGCCCTGTACTCTTCCTCCCTCATCACTTGTCTGACCATCTCTGCTGTGAACTTGCTGAAACTGTCCTCACCCACAAAAAGTGAGCTCAGATCTCCCAGCGGTGTCACGTGACTTGAGGACACTGCACAATACAACAATTAAACATGTTCAAAATACTCATAAAAACAACATTTTACAACATTAATACTTTAAAACAAAAAATCACCACCCACCCCCCCCCCCCCCCAAGGTAATAGGACCTAGCTAAATGAAGGTTGCTACCAAAGTCAAGTAAACAAAAGCTTTGTCTGAATCATTTAGCCTTGCGTAAAATGTGCAATTGGCTTTTGAAATGTTCATGAGAAATCTTGTTCTTTCCAAACATTTTACACAACAAAATATTACATTACCAATGTTCATTGCTCCATTTAACCCAAGCGTCATACAGTATCTTATGAAACCAATCTATATCTAAATCCAAGCACACATTACATACATGGCACAGTTTTTTAGATCAAGTACCGATAAAACTAATGCACCAAGTGTCCAGATCTACTTACAATCATTATTCCGTGAAGCATTGAACTCTCCACTCTGCCTCCTTAGCTCCTTCCTGTGGGATTCCGAGGGCAGAACTTGTCGGAATGACTCCTCGTCCGTCAGAGTCTCATCAAATGACATGCTGTAAGACTCCTCTCCTGCAATCTCCTCTGGGACACTGGCAGTCTGTGAATCCAGGCCTTCCACATCAGAAGCTGTTTTGATAGAGCTGTCAGAATTGTCTCTTGAGTCCTCTGCTGTTTTAACACTGAAAATTTAATTAAAAATAATGACTTTTACAGTCGCTGAGAGGTTCTCAAACTATCTAAAATTACTAGATTAGTGGTCCACAACTTATTTTATATCAACAGGATCAGTGGTTCCAAATATATTTAACATTAGGATCAGTGGTCACCAACCTATTCTAATATCACGTTGATGAGCGATTCCCAACCTATTTTAACATCAATAAGATCTTTGGTTTGAAACCTATTTAACATAAACTAGATCAGTGCTTTCCAACCTGTTTAACAGCATCTAGATTTTGTTCTGAGATTTTTCTCAAATACAATAAAAAAACTGTGTATTATTAAATAGTGAAAGTGGTGAATTTAAATGAAAGTGGTGAATTTAAAGTTGACAATTGTTTGAGAGTCAAGCAATGAACCGCTAGAACTACTGGCATCATTAAATCACCGATCCTACAAACTACCACTAAAGCATATGTTAAAGCCAACTAAGTCAGGCCATCTAATGAACTAAAGCCATCTAATGAAGATTAAATCCCTATGCGCTCATCATTTTTGGATACCTTGGTGTTAAAGATACCGAAGACCCTTTGGATACACTGGCAAGAGTTGTCACCCCTGATGATCGTTTGGTCCTCTGATTGCCTGGTGAATGTGACAGGTCCTCAGTGCTGGATGCAACAAGCCCACTTGATCTTGAACTAGATAAAACATGTGATCTGGACTCTGGCCGAAGGTTGTCCTCTTTCTCCAGCAATGCAGTAACTGGGAAATATATATATATCAACATAACAGGAATTCATCAACTTGCTGTGGAGAGTGAGAAAATTCTTCACACGAGATTGGATATGAATAATGATTAACAACAATGTAAGCATGGAAACAAGCAATTAAATTTCGCAATTTTTTACTAACACGGTAAATGAAATTCAAGTTTTAACTTGTCTGGTAGAAACTGGCTGTATCCTTGACTTTTTCCCAAGTGGCCGTCCATGAATGACATAAAATATCTAGGGGAGTAGTGGGTCACGAGTTTTTGATGATTTGTTATGAGGGTGTCTATAATTTGGTGACAGGGGGTGGGGGGTGGAATATGTCTGAAATCATATGATGTCCCTATCAGATGGACCCTAATTATATTGAACTTATTTGGTGAGGACTGATAATAACGGCTAATCCTCTAAATGTTGAAGTTGATCCCATAGACTTTTATAAGCAATACTAGACTTGTTCTGTATTAAAAGATCTCTTCTAATGACCTGGTAAAACAATGTCTTGAAACTGTGAGATTGTAACCAATCAATCATCATTAAACCACCAACCATTACCATTCACTATAACCTTTAGAGAAAACATCACCCATTTCATCTATGAGGCTTTAAGGCAACTGACCTGATTTCTCTACGGCCATATGTCGACCTGGTCGTGTCCTCATGGTGTCTAACTGCTGGGTGGCATCGACGGCCTCTTTTTGGGCCTTTAGCTGAAGGTGACGCAGTTCGGCACTATGTTCCTGTTGTCTGGCCTGCAGTGGACGGTTTGAGGACATAATAACAATAAGTCATCCAGAAGGCCATACACAAGACAACTTATCTAGTGTAAAGCACAATCAAACTTGTGGAGCATTTTAAAAGTTTTTCCCACTATAAAATCACAGTGTTAAAAAAGAAAGACATTTTATTATTGAAAATACTTGACACCCCACAGAAGATTGAAGAAAAACCATTGTAAACATACACAAATAATCCATGCTCACAACCGACGTATATTATTGACACAACACATAAAAATCCCACACCTGGAGTTGTGAGTGAGCCACCCGTCATGCATTACCTTAAGGACTTGGGCCAGTGAGACGGTTTCTTGCTGTGCCAACGAAATGCCCCGTGTTCGTTCCATCCCGACCACCTGTCTCAAGGATTCCTCCATGCTCTCAAGGTAGTTCAGGTTGGCGGAGAATTTGTTGGCCAGTGAGTTAGGAGACAACCTGCCATCGCCCGCGCCCCGGGAGGCCGACACCGGCACTCGGTCATGGGCTACGGCTTGTGCGTCTGCTCGGCTGGCTGCCGACTCCAGCTAAAGACGTGGGTAACAAAGTATATTTAAATACATTTAAATACATGTAGATGTGCAATAATATATATATATATATACAAGGGAGTGCGTCATGTCTTTTTTATCAAGCCTGAACATTTCTTGTTACACAATTGATCTAGACATGTAGTCTAACAAAGTCATTGATCTAAGTTGGTTTGGTTGACCCATTAAAACCAGGATGAAAAGCATACACTTATAAAGAGCACAGACAAAGACCTAAAGTAAGGGTGTGAGTCAGAGGTGATGTGTTCATAAAATGAATTGAAGTATTTCCACAGTATCCTTATTTCTAAGGTTCAAGGCATCAGAGGGACATGGAACTGACCTTTGACCTCATGTGCCGAGGTTCATCCTCGCTCATCTGTGACACATCCGTCTCCACCCCGGCGTCAGACACCTGACGGCTGTAATGTGATTTCTTGCTGGCAGCTGTTCTGTGGGATGGCTTGTGCGCCTCATCTTCATCGCTGAAAACAATCAAAACAAACTAAATAAGTACTCAAGCATCAATCACAAATCATTACCATCAAGTCAAATGTTAAGTTTAATATTTTATCTTAAAACCATCTATAATACTTTAAAATGATTCTGACAGCTAATATTTACATTTAGACTTAAATCTTTTTAATTCTGAAAATTAAATATAGTTGAATAAAAATTTGCTGAGCATTAATAAATTTCTGATTTAACTAACACATATTTACATACATTTGAGCATAAACTAACATATCTATCAAAAGCATAATTATTTTGTTTTTCATACTACAATATTTTTATGAACAGCAGGGCAAATGTATGTTGTAAACAATTCAGAGGTCTTAGAAATAGCTATAGGAAGCAGAAAAAACTAAATTTAAGCCATGATGTAGCCTTTGTTTACCAGAAAGCAGTATAATTACAAATATTCGGGGGGGGGGGGGGGGGAGATAGAGAGAGAGAGAGTAATACACACAAGAATATAAAAAAATGCGCACCAGGTTAAATTTTTAAGGATTGAATGAAAAGTTTCTTCATTTAAATAAGTCAGAAAGCACCATTGTTCATTGACTTTAGTTTCCTTCTGCACCCCACTAACAAGATAAATTCCATTTCAGTTCCACCAGCCCCTGACGCGACCATAGCAACCAAAGTCATGCCATGTAACACTGTTAAATAGATTAACCTTCAAATAGCATGCGCTTTATTTCTATGTAACTTCTATGTATATTTCATAGGATTACATGGTGATGGATAGAGGGGGTGGTAATATTACACAGGAAATAAATTTCATTTATAACATTTTTTTAGCATTATAAACTTCAGAGAAATTTTAAACAATTCAATCATGAATTCAATACATGAACAAAAAGTGGAGAAACTAGAAATGACTGAGTGCTGGCCAAAGCAAGCATTCAAACTTATGAGGAGGCAGTGCAGTTCATGGCTTATAGTTGTCAGCCGATGCAATTTGAAAATGATGAATAAGCTCAAATTTTGTTTAATACTTTAACAAGGCAGATTTCATTTATACATCTTATCAATTTCCAAAGCATTATTAGTTTATGCACAAGGTCATCACATCATTTTAAAATTGAAATTAATGAAATATTTAATAAAATGACCAAAACAAAATTTATTTAACTAGAAGAAGCGTCCCCAGCTTCTTTAATATTTATTATAGCTGAATTTTCTGTTAAAAGGTGCCTAGCTTTTATAAACCGAAAATGTTTAAAATGAAACTAGTGTGAAGCAGAAACTGTCTTGTGATCATCAACAGTATTTAGATAAAGCAAGTGATGTGCTATCTCACTTTTGATCTATGGATAACAATTAATTAACAATAATTCACTATTAATCTTTGGTGATGGAATCAATAATTGAGATTCATGGATAAGAGCCATGAAAGGCAACACAAAAGAGGTGAATGTGTGAATGCAAGGCAATCTGAACAAAGATGAACAAAATGTGTCTTTACTCTGAAGAAATGGTTGATGAAGTATCAGAGTAATACATTCTTCTTCTGTAACTGTAAAATAGGGCACAAAAACTATACAAATTCTACAATATTATCTTAATCTTTGAAAGAAAAATAATAATAGTTTAATGAGAAAATTATTTTTTGGTTTAAAAATTAATATCAATGAGGAATAATGAGTTACAATTTTGAAGAGCAAAAGATTAAAAAAAACACACAAAAAAACTTTGTAGATAAATTATTACTGGTGTCTAACTGTAAGTTTGAAAGAATAAAATCTTGTTATATAGGGTTGCAAAAAGAAAAAAAATGTTTTCGTTTCTATCTATAAAAGATTCTATAAAATGTAGTATTGAAACTCACCTTTCATAAGTCATTGTATAGACTGGTTCTGATTTGGACCCAGCATCATGAGACCTACAGGGAAATAACACATACTTTGACATGATTTATGAAGCTAATGTCTGCACCAAAAGTTAGGATTTCAAATTCACTTTAATCTTTTTTGGTAACAGGTTACATATAACTAGGTTTATTTAAATTTTGACTGAAAAATGTGAATCCCCCAATGGCACTGATGATTTCAGTAGTTTCAACAAAGGTGGCAGATGCTGGAATTATGGTAAAACTATCAAATACACCACTTCTTTTTGAAGGTGTAATTAATAAGAAGTTTTTGTAACCACTAGACCCTGCATGTTACACTGAGTGCAATAAAACACCATAAAATAAGGTCAATAGAAATGATATGAAAGTCATCTCATACACATGTTTTTGGACTGAACAGCAGATCAAGATTAAATGACCTGACCTCAGCCTTTTCTCTGAAGTCTGACTGGCTTGGTAAAGCTTTGATGGTGTATTTTGTTAAGTACAGAAATGACTATATGACAGAACAGACTGACCGTGATGAATGCCCAGCCTTGTGTTGGGAAGTATGCCCAGCCTTGTGTTGAGAAGAATGCCCAGCCTTGTGTTGAGATGTAGAATGTTTGGATGGCAGTGCACTGGCCGATTCAGACTGGGAGGAAGACACATCACTGTTACTGTGGTCCGCCGCTGACCTCTCCCTGACGCCAGCTTCAAGTCGAGTGTACCTAGTTTTAGCCACGACTGGCTGGCCAGACGATGTCTTTCCAACAGAGATGTGCTCAGTGGATGTTATCACTTGTTGCTGGGTAAACAAGACAAAATGAAGCAGACTTTTAATTAACCCTATCTTCCACATAACATCAAATTTATTTATTTCTTAATATAAAATGCGTCACACATATTATCCAAATTTATTACCATTAAGCGTAGTAAATTATTTTTGTAAAATATTGCAGAACAAATTCTTAAGTTAGATATGTTATTTATTTATATCTTTATTGAATGTTATAAAATATTTCCTAAAGCCGAAATTGTGGCTATAATAAATATCTTATTAAAATGGAGGCATAAGACATAACATTTCATCTACATACCTTTAATGATGTAAGATCAAGGTTGGTAATGAAGGCAGCATTGGCCTTAGATAGTGTAGACGTCACAGTTGTAGAGGTACTTGTTACTGTAGCTCTGTTAGGCATATCAGCTTGTAGGGAACCTGGACATTTGAAATCAACACAAAATATATTTCCATAAAGTCACTCAAAACCAGTCAACTAAATACATAGATGTTAAAACTTTTTTTAAGCATGATGTTAAATTTAATGAAAGCAAAGCAAAAATAGCAGTTCGTTTTTTTATGATTGAATATTGTGCTACCCACCAACAGCCATTGGATAATCTAACAGTGCAATCTGTGCTATTGTTTGTTTAACCAATAAAAACTGTGACTTACATGCCACCCACGAGCTTTTGTCCCAACAGGTCTATGTAGTCAATATAGTTTGAACACTTTAAACATTAGCACAGACAAAAACAAACCTTAACTCTCAAAAGACGGGAGATTGAAAAATGGGTCATATATGGCGGGTTAAAAAAAACAACCCCTAAAATATATATAAAAATAATATTAAAAGGCGAAAATAAAGATTTACAATTTTGGAATGTTAAATTTCTATTTGGCAAGAAAGAAAAATCGTTTATATTACTAGTTCTTGAAGAAATCTGGTAGCAACTTGTCCATTCATAAATTTTCCTTTTCGCCATTTACTTATATTTTGCCACAATTCCGGTTCACTGTTACTACACTCTAAAACATTGCTATAGAGTCTGATTCTGATTATAAGCTTGAAATGGACAACTATTCTCACTTAGAGAAATATTTTTGATGAAGATAGCACTTCAGATGTGTCTGATACCGAGAATTCTGTAAATTATCATCATAATAATAGTAACAAAGGTTTGTTTACTTTTTTTCATTCATACTCAACTCACGCATACTGTGATACTTTCTTAGCACTATTATTAGCCCTAACATTAGTTTTATTCAAGTTCCAGTAGTATAAAATTCTGAAATAGATTAAATTATTTATTTGTTTGAAACTAATTAGTAGTTATACAATTATTTTAATATCATTACGTTTCAGTTAGCAAAATGTAAACAATGGTTCTCAAGGCCAAGGCTATTATTACACTGTAACAATCAGCTGTGTTCCTTTTCAATGAAAAGTTGAAGTAAAAGTAATTTAGGCAGATTGTTTAATATTTTGAATTCTTTTTATTTATATTGTAATTTTTTTAATTTTAGCTAAACTAATTTTTTAAATATATTTTGACAGCATCTATGCTATGAAGGGCAGATGTCAAACATAGTCAATACAATGGGTTATGATGACAAAAGAATGTGGGACTCTTTGCTGCATTTAGACCAGAGGTAAAAAGCACTATTGCTTCCTGATGTTATAACAAGAGAGGATATAAGGAGATTTTAAAAGCGAATTGACATTTTCACCCTCTACTTTACTACAGATTTGGTTGGTTATTAGTAAGCCTTGTGCGCAGAACAATGGGCTGCAGAACTTTTGTGTTTTCAAAAATTGGTACCATTATAACATCATTGAAGGGGAGTTTTATCTACTAAGTGGATTTATTATGAATGAAGGACTTATCAAGCTCTTAATTTTACAAGAAATGTCCAGGAAATCCTTTTATGATGGACAATGAGCAAGGCCATTAGTACTAAGGACATATTCAAGGCTATATTGAGTTTCCTAAAAGTTTCTGATACTGAAAATAAAGGAAACATGCTGTGCAAAATTGGGAGACACTTCTGTATCTCAATGCAAAATACAATCAACTGTATCGGCATCAAGAAAATGTAGCAATTAATGAACAATTTAGGGAACAAATGACATCTTTGATGATGAACCCGATACTGTAAAGCCCGAAATCTTTACATCGTGCGCCGCGACATGACAATAACAAAAAATGTAATTGTGGGTTACCAAAACAGGGTAAAATGGTCAGAGCATATGTCACAGGCTTTCTTTTTGATACATTTGTATGTTTTAAGAAATTGTTTTCAAGAATTTTTATGCATGGTCTTGGCGAAGGATTATATCCTTTGATCGGTATCTTGGGGATGCATACAAATTTTTTATTTATTAAAATGTGCCTTTTTTTCTTAACTTTTCTTCTAAAATAATACTTACTAATAATCCTCTAAAGGATAATATGATGCGTTATATGTTTTCCTTTGAAAAAAAAAATTATTATTATTTTTTGAAAATAATTTTGACTTTTTGAGCAATATTTCCTTGAATGATCTGTTGCCTACAAATAGTCATAACTTTTTTATTTATGAGTCTATTGTTTTGAAATTTGAATAAGTTTTATAGTATTGAACACATTCTAATAAAATATCAATTTTATTGATTTAATTGGAAACACTTTTTTTTTCTTCCTTATTTGCCAAAAAATAATAAAACATCAAATTTAGCAAGGATATTTTGAACAAACACCAAATATCAATTAAAGACCATCCAATTACCTTTAAAATGATATATAATACTTGGAGGTAGCTACAAAATTACAGTCATGAGACACATTGAAGAATAAGATATATTCAAGGTCATTAAAAACTGGAAAAATCTACAGTCTTTTGAGAGTTAAATACGTGACCATTTTAACTAATAGTCAAAAGTAAAATTCAATGCCCACTTTGTACTTGTCGATAACAAATAACCTACCAGCAGCCAGATATTTGCTCTGTCTGGAGAAAACGCTCATGACACTGTAGGGATCTGGCTGAGTTTCCACCCAGGCGTACTGAGATGGGGGCTTGTAGGTGGCAGGTGTGGGCTTGGTACGGCTGGAACCTTCATTCCTGTGATGTCTGCTGCTCTGTGTTCTCTGGACAAGGCAATGACAGGGTGTTACAGAGAATAAATGCTTAGCATTAAATAATCTGATACATTCAAGGTGGTGGTTGAAATACAAATTTCCACCAACAGACAACATAATGAAAATGATGACACACACATTTATGTAACCAACAAGATAGTGTAAGAAGGTGAAAATCCATGGGATGTTGTTGTGAATAAACATTACTACATTCTGAATAACACATGCAATATAAGCCCTGAGTGGATGACATTTCTGCAGATTTATTATTAGTGGTGGTTTTATACACCGCAGTACCCCAATTGTACATACAATTTAACAAACATAAATCATGAACTTAAAAATTAACATACATTTATTAAATAAAACAAAACGAATATATATTCACTCCACACATTCAAGAACTATTTACATGTCAAGCCATGGACGGCTACCTAGCAGCATCGTTTATCGGTCAGGACCAACGAGAAGAGGAAGCAAGCCATCAAAGCTACAGCATTGACCTTAGAAAGCCGATTAGCCGAAGGCAAAAGAAAGCTAGAAGGTGAGCTTTTGAAACACAATCATACAAGCACTAATAAAAGTGTTGGACTGTGATAAAGCTGTTAAGTAGATTAAAATTTTAACGTTTTGGCTAGTTCCTTCATCAGTACAACAAAAAACCTGTCAAACATTAATAAACAAGCACAGTGTCCTGTTTCTAAACATTGTCAATGGTGCGAACCATAATGGAATAATAGACATTGCAGTTACTGGTATATTGTACGCGAGTTTTCCCGTTAGGTTTTCAAATTGTACGCCCACACAGTATTTTCTTTCCATTCTTCTGATCTTTGTTTTCATTAGGGACTTCTGCCCATTTTTTAATAATTTTCTTTCAATTTTAGATATAGGTAGTATATTATTTAAATTTAATTTACCAATGAAGTTGCCGAAATGTTTAAATTTTTCTTTTGTGTAAACATAGTTAAAGCTTAACATACATTTTTTAAAATGACACAAATTGTTTGTGTCTCTTTAATGTGCCAACACTTAAGCTTGTTGGACAGCTATGCCTTGGATTTCCAGGACTTACCCTGTTCCCTGGAATGTCAGCTCCAGGTAATGCATCATCTGATGGCTCAGTGGCAGTAATTTCACTAAACGTTGACGTCTCTGTGAGCTCTGAGGCATCATCATCTTCATGTCTGTAACCTTTAACCTAGAGGGTTCAGAAAATTAGTGAATATAAAAAAAAAAAAAGATAATTTTGAAGAGTTTTGAATTCATCCTAATTTTTCAGCAGTCTGTTCTAAAAAAACATTTAAAGGAAATAAATGACCAAACACAGGAGAAATACATGCAAAATGAAAAAAAAAAAATATTTTTAAGGTTCATACTTAATACAGGATATGAAAAAAATATAATAAATTGTTTTCTTTTATTTATGCTAATCCATTTGAATTGGTTTTTACAAGGGTTAGCTCATTATCAAAAACATTTGAAACATAATTAAAAACAAAGTAATTTATTTATGACAATTTTTTACATCTGTCCAAAATTTAATCAAAGCTAAGTTAATTATATTTTTTTAAATTCCAAAATTTCCATAAAAGTACATAATGGAGTATTATAATCAAAATTACCTGTCTACTTCGTTCTAGCTTATGACCTAAAGTACGGCCGCTGGGCAGTTCCCAGTTAAGAGCCTGTCTGACATTATGACCCCTGTAAGCTGCCTGTATCCGTGTGGCTGCCTGGGCCTGCTGTTGTGGGGTGATGGTTTGGTTGGAGCTAGCTGTTGGTTTAGAACCTGGTAACAGAATGGATGTCAAAAATCATGGGACATTGATTTGAGACTTAATAAAGTTGCTGGTAAATAATGTCATTGTAATAAGCTTGTTGATTCAAAATTTTCCTAGTTCTTGACTTCAGCAGTGTAACTAAAATAAATAAGTTGCTTTTATTGCTTAAAAATATTTGCTAAGTTTCTTTGATTAATTGTTTAATTTGTTTTTAAATTTCCGAGAAAGAACTAAGCATCCCAGAGTGCACAGTGGGGACACCGATAGATTCTTAAAAAATCTTATGTAAAGTTTTTGTGTAGAAGATGAACTGACCTGGAAGATTGGAGGTGAAAACAGCATATTCGTTGTTGTTGCCAATGAGCCTACTGAAGCGGGAAACAAAGTCTGGGCTACCTTGCTGGCCAGCATCATGAAAATTAACATCTGCCGTGGAAGGTTAAAGAGGGGGGTTAGTTGTAAAAGGTCAAAGAAACAAAGACATCATTTAATCATAGATGGGGTAAAACAGATGATCAACATTGCAATCTTTAATTGCAATCGACTAAGTCAAGCTGGCCATTTAGTCATTTCTTGACCCTATTTAAAAAACATATCTTCAAAACAATGACAGCTCATATTTTTCTTCACAACTAAACGCCAAAGCAAAGCTCTCTCAATTAAAGCTTTCTTCCATTATATCTAAATATCCCAGCTCTCCCTTTCTTGGCATTTAGTTCATGTTCAATTGTATTTAATTGGTTAACAAAGTGTCTACATAGTTGGACCCCCCCCCCACTTACAATCCCATGACCATAATCATGAATTAGTTACAACTTGCCTCACCGGGCATTTTTTTTACCATGTATAACTCTCCCTTTCTTGGCATTTAGTTCATGTTCAATTGTATTTAATTGGTTAACAAAGTGTCTACATAGTTGGACCCCCCCCCCCCACTTACAATCCCATGACCATAATCATGAATTAGTTACAACTTGCCTCACCGGGCATTTTTTTTACCATGTATACCCATCCTAGGTAAAAGAATGCATAGATTAGACAGGTAGGTGCCTCTAGAAATATTAACATTGAAGAAAACAACACAACAAAGCCAACAATGGAAGCATCGCTTACATACAAGTATCGGTCACAATGTAACAAAAAACACACCTTCTAGCTTTCTTTTGCCTTCGGCTAATCGGCTTTGTAAGGTCAAGGCCGTAGCTTTGATGGCTTGCTTCCTCTCCTCATTCGTCCTGGCTATAGAGTTGGACATGCCCAGGGCAAAGGCCGTCTCTTCCCCCAGAGGGTTGTGGCCGCCGGTGAAGACGCTGTTGCTCTGTAGCTTAAACTCGAACGAGTTGGGCAGGGCTGACCTTGAACCTCCACCAACACCGGCTGACCCCAATGTTGACCCCACTTCCTGGCCCCTTCTGTGGCTTACAATCTGGTGAAATGTGAAATTCAAGCATGAGACTACCGATCTCTAAAAAATTGATCAAATTGATATTCCTTGTTGTAAGGCATATCAACAAACGTTGAATATAAATAATTCAATGAGCTTCTGAAACACAATCCAAGTGCACTGTTGTAAACAAAATAACACCTCGTATTTTATTTGGTACTTTCTAAAGTCATGTTATTAAAATATTAATTACCACAAAATTTGCCAATCAGTTTGGCCTTACTCATCATTTAAAAATACAGTTTGTATCCATACTCATTGACAATATTAATTACCACAAAATTTGCCAATCAGTTTGGCCTTACTCATCATTTAAAAATACAGTTTGTATCCACACTCATTGACAAAAATCTTATTATTCAATAATTTATTTTTTTTAATGGTACCATATATTGCTTAGCACTAAGAGAGATTTCTGGCCACAGTCAACAACTCCTTATTTTTATCTCTTAAATATATTTTGCTTCTGGTATGGCTGCTTCCTTTTCACAACCAGCCCTCCAACTCAACATGTTTTTCATTAATAGTACTGAGTTATGCATGAGGGTTGAGCTCGGGAAAGAAGGTTGAATTTGTCCAGAGGCGACTATTACATTAATCAATAAAGAGCCATGGGTAAGGTGTAGGAATGTTTGGACTATTGTTTATAGAAAATGAGAAGTTAACTCTTTTTTTGTAACACTTGGACCCGCCTGGTATTTTCTTAAAATACCTGGACCTGGTGAAAAAAAACTGCACCCGGTTAAGCCCTTGCATAAAGTAATTTCAAAAAGAAGAGTTAGATGGATGCTTTAATCCTGATAAGAATAAAACCAAATTTATTCCTCAATTCACACCGCTGTTGGTACTTTGTGTAAAAAAAAATGTAGATTTATAACTAGCTTGGACGACTCAAAGTGGCTACCTGAGAAAACCTGTCCATAACACTGTCCACATCCAGGCTGAGTTTTTGTCCCTTGAACTCAATGTACCTGCTGCCGGGTGTTGTGTCTTGTGCGGTGTTGCCGGCCAAGGTCACTGTTGTGTTCAGATGTGGCTTGGACGACTGGTCAGCAGCTGCCTCGTGATCTCTTGGCGTCTTCCAATGTTTGTTGGTTTCACTGAAAATAAAATCAACTCTTTGTTTATATTTCTATTGAACCTCCATAATTACTTTTCTTATTTGAATGCAAGAGACACACAATAAATTATGTTTACAAATAATTGTTGAAAAAAAAAAAAAAATTTCCTTTATGTTAATAAAATACAGGTATGCCACCCAAAAACATAATGACATACAACTTATGTCTATTGTTGTACTGAAATATATGATTGCACTTTATATAAAAGGACTACAGCACTAAAATAACAAAAAATGTTTGTTGGTTTCACTGAAAATAAAATCAACTCTTTGTTTATATTTCTATTGAACCTCCAAAATTACTTTTCTTATTTGAATGAAAGAGACACAAAATAAATTATGTTTACAAATAATTGTTGAAAAAAAAAAAAAAATTTCCTTTATGTTAATAAAATACAGGTATGCCACCCACAAACATAATGACATGCAACTTATGTCTATTGTTGTACTGAAATATATGATTGCACTTTATATAAAAGGACTACAGCACTAAAATAACAAACATAACGAGTGATCCCCCTACTTTTCCATCAGTCTAGGTGTGGCCTGTGGTGTGGACTCATCCTCTGAGTCACCAGTCAGTGTTGAATCATCTTCGTGGTCCAGCTCCATGGTCTCAATATTATCCTTATTTCCTTTCGGTGTCTGTAAATATTTATTCATTGTAACATTAAAATTTTTTTAAATTAATTTTTTAAAATTTGACACAAATATGAGTTAATTTTCTATGACTAAACTCCTATATTATCCTGAAAACATCCTAAATTATAATAATAAACACTATTGCATAAACATGGCTCTCTTCAAATCTAGATAATCTATTGTCACATTAATATAATGGATTATGAACCATGCACAAGCAGGTGTGAAACTTCACCATGCTCACTGATGCAAATAAAATATTCACAATTTACCAATGTTGTACAAAATAATGTCACTCACCACTCTACAGTCATTTTTCCGTTTCCTCTCCCCCTCTCCAGCAGCCCGTGCAACAGCTGCTGATTTCACAGCTTGTCTCCTCTGTCTCTCAGCCAACTCAGACATAAGCTGGAGTTTTTTCTCATGGGCTCTCTTGTTGGCCAACTTTTCCTGCAAAAGAGTAAGGAAATAGAGTTCCTCCTCAAAATCTGTTCCTTGAACCAAATAAAATAGGTTTTCTCTAAAAAAGTTTTTTTCAGTTTTATTTTTCTCCCTTGTACATATTTGCATTAATAATCAAACTTTATTAAAGCATTTTGTGTACAAACTACTTAATGTCCCAATTTTGTAAAATTGAGTGTGTCTGTGTGTGTGTGTGTGTGTGTGTTCTGTGACAGAAAGCAATAGAATACCCACCTCTTGTTGCTTTTTGCACCGCTTAGCTTTCTGTGTAGCAATAAACTTGCGCACTGATTCCTGGTCATAATGTCGACTTTTCTCACACGGCTGCTGGTGTTTTTCAGGTTCTTGTAATAAATGACAAAAAAAATTCAGAAAATGTACATCCTAGCAAGTTATTTTGTATGTTGTTTATCAACTTTTAAAAGCTGTTTTTAACCCTTCAATTGCAATATTAAAATTAATGATAGATATTGAGTTTATAGGCAATCATTCCCCAAAGAAAACAAAAAATACCCTAACAAAATACCTGAAGGTTTTGGTGCTACAGACAGACATTAGCATACTTGAAGGCTTTGGTGCTACAGACAGACATTAGCATACCTGAAGGCTTTGGTGCTTTTCTCTTGACACCCGGTCGACCTGGACTTTTCACTTTAGACCCATTATCTGATATCCCTGAAATGTATAACAATCATTTTTGTTGAAGACTCCCAAACAGTTATCTTAGTTCCCTGAAGGATTTCTAAGACATTTGGTCAACACACAACGAATAATTTAATAAACAAGATCATTGAAAAGCTCTATTGCCGCAATGTAAATCATCTTTCCTGCACACTTGTAAGTCCTAACTTCTTTAGAAAAGTCACCACATGTTTAAAGATTAGCCAGCTTCCATGATGTGCATGTTTGTTGCTTGTCTGCCACTGACCTGTCTGAATGTCGTTAAGAATGCTCCTGGCATCCTCTGACAACAGCCTGGCATCAGGGAGACCCCCGCCGACGGCCAGCTCATTGCTGTTACAGTTGCCGTCCCCGGTGTTGTGATCAAGGCTTGCTGCCTCCGCCCCATCAGGCTGTCGACTGCGTTTGGTTACGCTGGGGTCGGAGATGATCTCAGATTTACTACGAGTGTCCCCAACCTGACCACCCAAAGGCTTAGACTTAGGTTTAGGACTCAAGCCGAGTTCTTTCTTAATAAGCTCCTGACCAGCCCGCCAAGATGAAGTTGTGATTATGTCTGTTGGGTAAAAATAAATAAAGTTAACATTATTTGTATCATTCACTTTTCTCTTGAGAAGGGGGGTGGGGTGGGAGAAGGAGAGAATTGGGGGAGAGATAGATAAAAACAATACTGACAACAACAACAAAAATGACAAGACATAACATTTCAATGATAGCTACATTTGGGAAGTTACAAACAATTGGTGAAAAAACTAAACTTACTCAACAGACACAAAACTGAGAACATAAGTTTGTGTAGAATACCAAAGTCAACAGGATTTGCATTGGGCGAGTTGACTTTTCAGACAATGAATCTTTGCTTCACACTTAATAAGTTTTGGAACAGATAAATGCTGGGATCAATCTTATTTAAATGAAAATGAAAAACATCTATGGGCAGTGTCCCACTATTTAGCATTTTTATACAGCAGTTCTTCTAAAGACCAATTCTGATTAATAGCATACTATTGCAGCAGATGCTGGAGCACCACCAATGACTGGCTGCAACACTTGATTGTTGCTTAATAAGGTGGGGGGTTAGGGGGGGATGGCTGGGGAAAGGACTAAATGACCTATCTACTTACTGGGCCGGCCTTCAACATTTTTTTAATAAAAAATGTAATAACCATGACAGCGGTAAATTAAATTTAAGAGCTTATTTATCTACAATAATGGGCCTTGTGAACTTTTTGTTTGAGAATTCTTAAAATGGGAAAAAACAGGAAGACACTGTGGGTAAGTTTATGGCCCCAAGGGGACGGTGACACAAAAAAGTCTGAGGAACATAGTATTAAATAGAAAAAATGGAAATTGTAAAAACCAGGCAAAATAAGTTATAATCAAGGAACAGATATGTTACTGTAAATGGCTGTGTCGATTCTAAACCAGAATCTACTCACTTTTATTAGCTCCTTGCCGAGGAGATTTCTTCTCAGCAGTGGCAATGACTCTGGATGGCTTCTTGGGTTTTTCAGGTGGTAATGATACATGTTTAGGGACCTGATTAGACACTGCTGTAACAAAATGGTATATATTTATAGAAAAGTAGAAACATGGTAACAAGGAAAGTGCTTCTGTCAAAATGAAATTCAGCTTTTTAGCTTGAATGAATCGTGTCAATTAGAATGAAAAAATTCTGCAATGATAAGGTTAAACCTTAGCCAAAATGTTAACAGCACAAGATTACAGTTGAAATCATGCAATTAGTTTGGAAACTTTCTAATTAACATTATAGAAAGAAAAAAATATATCTTCAGACCTGTTTACTCTTACTGTACAATGTACGATTTTGAGGTGTATACATTATTCATTATATATATTTATGGCTTTGATATAGTCTCTACCCACCTTCAGCTTCATGTTTCTTGGGTTGGAGTACAGGCTTCTTGAGTGATGGCCCCTTTTTCTTGACCGCTGCAGTAAATTTGATGTTTTGTCTGGAGGGCGTGTGGTCGGCTGTTGGTTCTGAGAATCCTAAAGCCAGAAGTTAGGGAATTTATTTTCACAAAATTATTGCACCCCAATATTTTTCCAATGAAATATTTTGCTGCACCATCATACAAGCACAATATTTATCCAATAAATTAATGTTTTTTAAGGAAATATTACTTCCAAATATAGCATTGCATCTTTCAAAAGACGATGTGAGATTTTAAAAAAAATGTATATTTTCTATCTTAATCATTTGCTGGCAAAGTCTATAGAAATAATCTTTAAGAGCAAATTAACAGCATAAAATAACTAGTACCTACTAAAAAAACAACAAACAACTATCAACAAAATCAAGAAAGTAAAAAAAAAAAATGACAAGACTGACCTTTATAACTTGGGGATGGGTGTGAGACGGCTATTTTACGAGTTATTGGGATTCTAGGGGTGGAGTCTTCTGTCAAAGGATGTCTCGGTGGCAGGGCAGGGGGAAGGGTTGAACTGTCCGAACTGTTTGCTAAACTTGTATCTGTGGGTACATTTAATCTATACAGATTACAGAGAATCTCACCAACAGTACTGCCCGATAATTTGCTAAATTTTTATCTGTGGCTAGATGGGTTCACTAAATGCATTCAAATGACAGTGTATCTCACAATTGGTACAAATGTCAAGTAATTCAAGGTAATAGCAATGTCACTTTAAATAAATTATAGTTTAGAAATAGCAGGCTAAAATGATGAAATAGATGAGATCCAAAGGGGTAGCAATCTACTCTCAGGTGTACTTGATTTCTCTCAAGTGAAGTGGATCTACTCTCAAGTGTAGCAGAACTACTCTCAGGTGTAGTGGATTTACTTTCAGATGGAATGCATCAACTTTCAGGTTGAATGGATCTACTCTCATGTGTAGTGGATCTAATCTCAAGTGTAGTGGATCTACTTTCAGATGAAATGGATCTCCTTTCAGGTGGAATGAATCTACTCTCAGGTGTAGTAGTGGCTCTATGTTAGGATTGCCAGAATTTAATTCCCCCCCCCCCCCCCACATAATAAAAAAAAAAATTTAATTCCCCCCCCCCCCCCCAATTAAATCAGAAGACTCTTTTGATTATTTTATTTTGCTCCCTTGTATATATACCCATTTTTATACCGACTCTTACCTGCAGTCATAAAAAAATAATCACTGGGCCATAAGTTTTTGTATGAGTCATTAAATTGTCAGCTATTTACAAAGTTCTGTGTGGCCCATGACTTAGTGTCAGCTTGAAAGAACTCTGTTTGGTAGTGAACAAAGCTTAAGAGTATGCAGTGCTCTATAACACACACTAAGACCTGTTATACTATACAACACACAGGTGCTTCCACACAGTGCACCCTGATGTTTCCGATTTGGTGTTTTTTTTTGCACCAAAGTCTTTAAGGTTATGAGAGCATTCATTTTTGACAAGAAGTCATTTGGAATTGACAGATAGAAGCCAACAAAAGGGGGACACCTTTGACAGGCCGGCAATAAAACCTGTCCAAGATCTTGACAGTTTCACCAACTGAAGGTTACTGAAGCAAACAAGGGGGCTGAGACTGCTTACATGACATAGGAGAACTTGCAGATCTATTTCTGAGAGGTGGCTATTTATTGATGTTTCGGTGATGCTAAACCCTGGCCACGTAGATTCTTCCAGTTAATTTATTATAATTTTGTCCTTTTTTTTTTTACGTCTTCATTTCTATCCACTCAAAGGGCGATGGTCTTACATTTAAAAATATCCCCAACCATCACTTTACTGGAGTGATTAACTCATTTTAAATTTGAAAACGAGATCCATCGGGTAACCAAATGTTGACAAACGTTATAAATTAGACTAAATACATTTTTAAAATTACCTTAATGGCATTTTTTTTTACAGGACTCTTAATTTTGATTTAAGCTAAATGGTAGTTTTTTTTTTTTTAATGCACTTCCGGGCTATGGTATATCGGCTACTTTTATTATAGGAACTAAAAACATCCTCGACAAAAACCCATTAAACCAGAACTGAAAAATAATAAGAACTTATAAAATTAAAAACGTTTGCTACTTCATGACATAAGCACTAGAAATGTTTAGACTTTTTAAATTTGAACACCTCTGGTGGGGAAATGTGGGGATAACTTTAGAAATTATTTTTTTATTGGCTTCACATTATCAGAGAACTAGAAAGGGGAGACCACCACAATCCTATAAGATTTGCAGTACAGATAGCAAAGGTTTTAATGATTGGGTATAAAAGAGAGTTCACTGAGTGTCTTCTTAGAAGCTTCAGTGACATTTCTCTGCTGGGGGCCCCTGCTGGTATTTGAGGCACAATGGGAAGCTCACACAAATCAATACATAAAATAGCCATAATAAAATCCTCAGATGCCTATGCCTGGACCTTCATCTGGAGTGCAATAGTGCTTGGCTGGCCGGAGTAGTTTTTTTTCCCTGCTCTATAACAATCCCCAGTGCTACCCCAACCAAGTCAATAAGATAATATAAAATAAATAAACATCATGCAGTCAGATAAATTCAAGAAAAATAATAATTGCTACCAAACTTTTAAAAATTTGCTAGAATAACTTGAATAAAGGCAGGTATTTATTATTATTATTATTCATCAGGAAAAGATGACCAAGGCAAGAAATAGTCTTGACTTGAGCTGTATTTTAATTAAGATAGAGTTGTTCCAATCGCCAGCCTCACTATCTTGCCTATTTGGCTCAATGCCGCAGTGCTCTTTTTGCATTCTGTTCTACGTCACAAGATTTTGTCGGAATTTTCATCTTGTCAATGTCTTACTCCATCTCCAGGCTTCATGTCGGAGTTAGCCTTCTTAGATCCAAGGTTAACGGGTCCCATCCATCTTGGGTGCTGGCAATGTTTTTGCTTTTGCTGAGGATTGAACCAGAGGCCCCTGGCTTGGGATTGTCTCGGTTTAGACCAGTCGGCCACCCAGCACTCTGGTAAGTGGATGGATGGGGATGGTTGAAGAAGAATGAACATTTATTGATTGAAAATAAATGACCCAGAAAAATGACAACTCACCATTACTGCTCGATAAGGACGCCAATGCTCTCTGATGTTTTACTCTTTCCTTTAATTTAAGAAGAATATCTGAGGAGAGAAAAGACCATTTTTAAGATATGACAAATGCAAGTTCTGAATGACATAATTTATACATATACTTTATTGAATACATCACATGGAAACTGAAAACAAATATTTTGCTGATAGGTTATCAGGAGTTTGAATCAGGATGTGACATTTGATGGAGAAGTGAGAAAAAGATGCGAGAGAAGAAGTTTAACAATGAGGAAAAGAAAGGGAACTGAACACAAGAGCCAATGGGATTGATACCCTTCTGGCTTGATTATGACCCAGTACTTCAATGTCCCCAAAACAAACCTCTAGCCATCTTGGACAGTTTCTTAGTACAGGAAGTACTTCTCATGTGTGTCGTGTCGTTAGCCTTGGTGGTATCAGCAGCAATGCCGTTATGAATAAC